GAAAGAACAGAGTGCAAAAAAGAGATTTTGAAATAGAGACAAGAACGCCTTTCACGTGAAGTCTCAGTTGTGACAGGATTCTACTTGTCTGCCAGCTCAAACACCCCACACCAGAGACACAAGGAAACTTGGAAGGAGAGTAGGAGCAGGGTAAACAGATCTCAAATCTACATGGGAAGCATGGGATATTCTAGACAGTTCCATACACTGTAAGAGATAGTGAACTCAATGCAATCTATGTTTAAACTGTGTAGCTGACCTTTCATTCACAAAATGGCTAAATTATGGTATGATGTGATTCCTCACTCCAGCCATGCACTCGGATATTTACATCTTAAAAGGAGTCACATTTACATCTTGTCTTTCAAACAACCTTTCCACTAAAACATCAGAACTGTGAAAATAACCCTCCATCAGTGTCCCTGTCACAGAAAGTCCTGTCTGTTTCATAAACAGCTGGGAAATCTTTAGTCACCACAACATCGAAGTCAAAACTTGCTCTATATGACTCTGATTGATACACAACTCTAAAGGAAATTCAAATCCCAGCCAGTAATGGATAGAGAATTGGTAGATAGATGGAAATTGGCCTGGCAGCTTCCAGCTGGGGCTTCATTTCCCAGGAAACCATGTAGGAATTAAACTAACAAAAACATCAGCTCCTTCCTTCATATTTTACTGGTCTTTCCCTTCTCATCTGTAGCATAGTCAATCCATAGACATTTCCAGATGGCACACCTGGAGGTAAGTGTCTCAAAGGCAGAGGCCAAGGTGCTATGAAACATTCTACAAAGCATGAACAATACCACACCCACCCAATCCCAAATGTGCACGTTGCTGCAGTAGAATTCCCTTTTTAAAAATCCCTGATGGCTTGTGTGAGCATGTGTGTATTGTGTGTGTATTGTGTGTGTGTGTGTGTACAAATTTGTGTAGAGGTGAGAGCTCCAGGTGTCTTTCTCTACTACCCTCCATTTACTTTTGGACAGACTCTGTCACTGAACCTGGAATTCACATACTCAGCAGCACTGACTAGCCAGTGAGTCTTGGGGATCCCACTGTCTCTGGCTCCCCAGCAGCAACATGATGCACATTCATTCCTGTGTCAGTCCTTTAGAAAGATGGATTACGGGGCTCTGCTCTCAGATCCTAATGCTCTTGTGATAAGCGAATTGCCAACTGAGCCGTCTCCTAACCCACCTACGGTTTTACAGTCTTGGAACTGAAAGAGATTCCAATTGCTATCTCTGTGTTTTTCTTATCACTGACTGAACAAACACCTGACCCAAACAATCAAGAAGAAAATTTTATTTTGACTCAGTGTGTCAGAGGATTTAGCCCATGCCTGCTGAGTCCCACACACTTGGAAAGAACATTACCGCAGTGGGAACACATAATAAAGACCTTATTCACCTCACTGCTTACAGGAAGTAGAGAGGTGGAGACAGGAAAGAGCAAGACACCCTCAAAGACCCTGCCCACATGACCTCCTTCTTCCAACAAGATTCCCCCCCCCACACACACACGTCATAAGGTCTCCAGATCCTTTCCAAATAGTGCTATCATCTAATATCTAGCCTTTAGCATATGTGCTGGAGGAGGGGAGAAGTGTTTCATATTGAAACCATAACATCTTGCTTCTATTAAATATCTCCTCTTCACACTTATCATAAATTCACAGGACAACAAGAGACAGAAGTTTAAAATGGCATCACCCTGGAACCCAATATCCCATCGAGCACCAAACTCTGAATGAAGCTGCAGTGGGTGATTTAGTTGTCAAACTATCCCCAAAGGATCACCAAAAAGGGGCTCTGAAGTATATGGACTCAAAGACTTTAACATGGAATTTATTAGTATGTGTGCATGTGCGTGCGTGTGCATTATGAGTGTGTGAGAAAGTGTGTATGTGTGAGAGAGTGTGGTATACATGTGTGAGTGTGTGGTGTGTGTGTAAATGTGTGTGAGTGTTGTGTGTGGGGTGTATGTGAGAATATGTGTGTGCATGTGTGTGTATATGTGAGTGTGAGAGCGTGTGTGGTGAGAGTGTTGTGTGGGTGGGCTGCGTGTGAGACAGTGTGTGTGGCATACATGCATGTGTGAGAAAGTGGGTGTGTGTGTGAGAGAGAGTGTGTGTGAGAGACAGTGTGTGTGGCATACATGCATGTGTGAGAAAGTGTGTGTGTGTGTAGCATACATGCATGTGAGAAAGTATGTGTGTGTGTAGCATACATGCATGTGTGAGAAAGTATGTGTGTGTGTGTGTGTAGCATACATGCATGTGTGAGAAAGTATGTGTGTGTGTGTGTGGCATACATGCATGTGTGAGAAAGAGGGTGTGTGTGTGTAGCATACATGCATGTGTGAGAAAGTGTGTGTGTGTCTGTAGCATACATGCATGTGTGAGAAAGAGGGTGTGTGTGTGAGAGAGTGTGTGTGAGAGACAGTGTGTGTGGCATACATGCATGTGTGAGAAAGTGTGTGTGTGTGTAGCATACATACATGTATGAGAAAGTATGTGTGTGTGTGTGTAGCATACATGCATGTGTGAGAAAGTATGTGTGTGTGTGTGGCATACATGCATGTGTGAGAAAGTGTGTGTGTGTGGCATACATGCATGTGTGAGAAAGTGTGTGTATGTGTGGCATACATGCATGTGTGAGAAAGTGTGTGTGTGTGTGGCATACATGCATGTGTGAGAAAGTGTGTGTGTGTGTGGCATACATGCATGTGTGAGAAAGTATGTGTGTGTGGCATACATGCATGTGTGAGAAAGAGGGTGTGTGTGTGTAGCATACATGCATGTGTGAGAAAGAGGGTGTGTGTGTGAGAGAGTGTGTGTGTGAGAGAGTACATGTGTACTCTGATGTGTATACATGTGGAGGCTATAGGTCAACGCCAGGTGTCATCTTCAATCAGTCTCCACATTTCTGTTTTGTCTTGCTTTGGACAGGGTTTCTCAGTGAATGTGGAGCTCGCCAATGGCTAGGCTAGCAATCCAGTAAGCTCCTGCCTCTATCTTTGGGGTTTATATTTTAAAGGAAGATAAACTTTTATCCTGGCCACCTGCCATAGAGATACACCCACACAGATATATCTCCTACATACAAACACGAGATAAACTGTGTCAAAGCCAATTGACTCTAGTTAAAAAGACTCTACGTAAGTCTTACATTGGCTGGAAATAAAAGAAACTCATCTGGGAGATGCAGAGGAAGGATGGGGTTTAACTCTTTCCTAAAAACAGAGAGCCAACCCCAAACCACACCTGGAGATTAATTAGCAGCTCTTTGATGTATCATCTGTTCTCTGCAAGGACCTGGTGGGGTGGAGTCGTCACTATATTTACAGTGCTTGGTGAAAAATAATTTGCCATGAGGTAACTTAGTGTAAGCTCAGGTCATGTCCCAATCTTGCCAAATAAATGGCGCTGCCAAAGATTCCTTCCTGTAGCTGACGCTCTCACGACAGCGTGCCTGCTTGGCTCTCAGCTGCCCTTGATCTTCGTGTGTGTGTGTGTGTGTGTGTGTATGTGTGTGTGTGTGTGTGTGTGTGTGCGTGCACATGGGAGTTTACATGTGCATACATGGCAGCTTACAGGAAGGGCTCCACGTACAAGCTCTTAGGTTTCTCTTGGGAGGCACAGCTGTGCTGAAGAGTGTCTGGGAAGAAGAGAAAAGAAAGGAGGTGCTGTCTAGACCAGGATAGAGATTGACTGCTCAACATGCCCAGAACATGCCCTGCCCTGTCAGAAGAAACAGCTGTGAAACCCAGCTCAGGTTCCACGCAGCTGCTGTGCTGTGGACGGTTTCTACTCCACATCATCCTCCACGTACAAAGGGCTCTGTTCACTATGTGCTGACTGCTAACTGTATTCAGGCTCTGAGAGTAGGCAGAGTGCAGCAAGGATGGGCTGTGATGCGTCCGTAGAATAGAAGAAAACATCTCACGAGACTTTGAACATGCGCTTTTATTCCAAATGCTCCTTCGTGTGTGACTAGAACACAAACTGTGAACTTGGCAACTTGTTGAAATGCAGTTTAAAGAAGAGCAGGAACTGGGGCTGTTACTATCTCCCCACTCTCCGGAGTTCCCAATACTGCTTCCATAAGCCAGCATTGAGAGAGTGGCTTAGCCATCTGATGTGTAGAATAGCCCATGGGGTTGGTAAAATCTGCTCTGTAAAAGGTGCCAAATGATGAGCAAGAGAACAGTATCATTTTTATTAAAACTGGGTAAATTAAGGGAACTTCTTTAAGCCAATATACTTGGGCCCACAGGAATGCATTAAACAGCCCAAATCCTGCCTGGTGCAATCCCCAAAAGGAATCCACAATGTTTGGTGAAGGGCACTGAGGCTCCTTGCAGGTCTGGGCAGAAATCTAGAGACTACTAAACTAGTAAAGTCGATATGCTGAACAGAATTCTCATCCAGAATGTAATATTTCCAAACCCCTGGAGACTCAGTTCCTGAAAGTGCTCTCCCTAGATCAAAGAGGGTTGGAGTAAGAAGGATCATGAATGAGACCAAAAGACAACAGGCAAGCAGAAGGGGAAAAAGGCTCACTATCAGCAGTCACATCCCCACAGTTCATTCTGTATAACGACGGATCCTTAGAGCACTGATCTTACTCATGGCACTAAATTCACTCATTATGTAACACTACATCGCTTCTTAGGCTTGGTGAATAAATTATAAAAGTTTAAATCACTGAATGAATTATAGAACCAAACGTGGCTCTTCTTGTATGCCAAGAATAATGTGCTTTCTCCTCAGGTGAATTACCTTAGGATCAACATGAAGTGAATCATAATATCTCTAAATCTTCGTCTAGAATTGGAACTCTGTGAGCAGTGTATACAGCCGTACCTGTGTGTACTCACTTATGGTATCATCTTTACATAATGTTCACACCAGTCTTTTATCCTACATTATCATGTTTGCATGACTATCTCATTTGGAAAAAAGCAAGGTTAGGAATTAGAATTAAATTGCTTACCTAGGGCTGAAAGAGATGGCTCAGTGATTAAGAGCACATACTGAGAGGACCCAGGTTTGATTCCCAGTGTTCACATCAGGCAGTAACATTGGCTTCAGGAGAATCTGACACCTCTGGACTCTTGGGCACCTGAACCTACATGCACAAACATAGATACAGAGAGAAACACCCACATGCACACACACATAAATAAAAAACAAGCAAATACCTTGATTATAATAGCCAGTGCTGGGACATTTTACTAGATATTTTTTTCTCAACAAATATGTGTACACTAAATTTCTGTGGATAGCTTAAGTAAATTTGGGGCTGAGAAGATGTCTCCATGATTTAAGAATTAAGAATGCTTCCTACACAAGCACCAAGACCTGAGTTTAAATTCCTAGCACCTACATAAAAAACTGGATGTGGACACACACACACACATACACACACACACAGAGAGAGAGAGAGAGAGAGAGAGAGAGAGAGAGAAATGCCTATACATTCATATATACATACACACCACATACATCCAAACATGCATGAAAATAGAAGTAAACTCTATCCAGTTAATCCTTGTCAGTCACAGACCTCATTGCAGTTGACAATATCAATGATTAACAATGGGAAAATCATTTCCCTAGAGATCCTGGAAAATTCAATGGAATTCAATTATGTAGCATAATTGAAGAAGCAGTAAGTCAAAACATACACCATGCACTTCATACAGAGCCATCTGCAAAGTTTCTTACAGACACAAACTATTTAACAGCATGTCACAGGCAGCTTTAAAACTCTGCTGGGAGTTACAAGTTACTGAAATGTGGATATTCTGCTGTCCCGGTTTGATCCCCAAAGTAGTGCATTTCAGGTACTCAGCCAAAAAGTCCTCACAATGGGCTGCCATGTTTACAGAGGATAGCTCATAGAAAAATTCTGAGAGACACAGTGATTGATGGGCTCTTAGGCAACAAAGAAAGAAATGTTCAAATGCAACAGCATGGGCATAGAATTTCTTGGGAAAGAACAAGAAATAACATCAGAAAACAGTGCAGAAAAATGTATAATGTGCTGGATCACTGGAGGTGGTTTTGTTTACTGCTGTTCCCTCAGTAGGAATACAGCAAGACAAAATTCAAATATGCCAAGCCAAACATAAAACATGGAAGAAAAAAGAAAAAGAGGAATGGAGAAGATAAGGAGCAAGAAGAATATAGGAGGAGACCCAGTAAGGACCAGTAAGGGAGGAAGAACCACACTCGCCACCTCCCAGTATCTCAGGTGACACTTGGACAAAGGTATGCAGGGACCAGAGTGTCACAAGCATCTCCTTCAAGTCAAACAGAGCTGTCAAGAGCACTCCTAAGGTGTCCTCTGACCTTCATATAGGTTCTGTGACATGTGCGCACCTGTGCTCACATCAGTGAACAGACACACAGATAAATAAACAACAAATAAATACACAAATATAAAATTAAAACATGATCTTAGAATATAGAGTTCCAACAAACTCACTGGAAAAAAAAAGGAAGAATTCTTAGGTGATAATGAACCTAATATACTCAACATATGGGCTCTCAATTGTTTCCTCTCACAATTGCATGGCTGACTGTCAGCCATGGCTCCCTGTGGCTAGCCAGCGTTACCAGAGTATTACACCATGTATTGCTAACTTGAAACAAAAAACAAAATCTGAAACACAATTTCTAGAAAATGTGTATCGCATTTACACTATGATAATGGTCACTGTGGAGCATCTCTAACATGGCTTTTCTATCTATATCCCTGTAAGATGGGGAATCACAGATGGGCTACACAATGGGAATGACTTACTATACTTTACAACTATACACACCGGCAGTGCTTTGGAGCACAAGTACCAGGAACACACCACAGTACTTATTAGCATAAGCTTTGAGCCAGGCAACTTATCACTCAGCCTACTTCCATATTTGTCCAATAGACATAGATACCCCACAATCACCACTACAGCTTAGACTTGTGCTAAACCTTCTATATATGAGAATATCTAATGCACAGATGAACCATGTTATCTTTTAAATGAGAATTCTTCTTGACTACTATCAAAATCTGTGAGTTAGTTGCGATTCATTTCTGTTTCCCAGGAGTCTCCTGTTATTTTCTTTCCCTGCTGAGAGAAAAAGATATGAAAGAAACCAAAACAATGTTTTATTTCTGAACAAAAAATATATATCAAACATTACCAGTGGACAAGTTCCCTATTTGTGAATTCAAGAGTATCTGTCACAACAAGTGACTGAGGCCAAGAGAGATCAGGCAGTTACCATGAGACTGTACAGATAAGACACACTGGGACACTCAGTGTTAGTTAAGTAGCTACAAAGAGAGCAACAGCCACCTCTTCCCCAATGTTTGAATTAGCATATAAAGAGAAATAAAGGTACAACACGGGGCTTGTTTTCTCACTATGGAAACAGTATATAGAATATGAGAATGACTCTCCTCTTAAATATGTCTGGAGGATTAAATAAGAACAAGAATACAATAGAGCTTTATTTCAATTGCTATGATCAAAATGCCTGGTAGAAATTTAAAGGAGAAAGGATTTACTTTGGCTCACAGTTTCAAGTTTGACTTCATGATTTCTGGGCCCCATCATGGTGGCATAAAGGGTTTGGGTTTTTCTTCTCTTTTTGGTAGACAGGAAGCTCAGAAAAGAGGGTTGCTAGCACCAGTCAGCCAGCCTAACCTACTTGATGAATTCCAGGCCAGTGAAAGAGCATCTCTCAAAAAATATAAATAAATACAAAAGCAGGAGAGCACACAAAGACACAAGGAAGACACCCAAGTTTACCCTGTAGTCAACACACAAACGGGCGGGGCAGGGCGGGGGGTGGCGTTGAAAGGTTGAAAGTTGAAATAGCTCTAAATTACTATTCCCTAAATGTAAACCCTGGTTGTGTCATTAGTATTAGTTCTATCTTTTGACCAGTATAAAATACAGTAACTGTGGCTTATGTCGATTTTCAGTGAAAAAGAACAGCCTAGATCACTCACTGTCACCAGGAAATATGAATGCCTAAGGATCCGGATGACATGAAATAAAAAGAGAAGGCTTTCATGTGATGCTATATGTAAGCTAACATAAAAAGGATTGACTCCAGAACTTCTGTTTGTATTGGAAAGGTACACATGGTTATAAACAGCTTGATTCAGCTGGTTCCCTACCAATGAAAAGCTTGTGCATTTAACGGCTCCCTGGATGGTTCATCAGAACCAATTGCTGACCTGCAAACATTTCTCATAAAAACAAGAACAAAGAGTCTGTCTCACTGTTCATCTGTCTGACATTCATTTAAGTCTGTCTAAGGGGACAATTCTACCTTCCCACTATAGATGTGGCTGGCTTTCAGGGCACCTGGGTACTCTTTCCACATTCTCCTGAAAGATTCTATAAGCTCCCAACAGAGGCTCCTGCTAACAGAAACATCAGAACACTTGTTATGTTTGTAAGGCAGACTTTGCAGGGCAAAAAATAAAACGCTCCATCAGAGAAGACCCAGAACATTCTTTCTAGATGGTTCCATTTACAAAGTATCCCCATCATGAACTAAGTTGATCTTACAGTTACATAGTCCCAAAGATCCAGGAAAAGATCAGATACCAAATCTTCCTCACTGAAGATCCGTAGCAGACTGTATGAGTCAGGTGGCCTTGACCTCTCTCCTCCACTGGGTGGGGCAGACTACCCAGAGGTGAAAAATTAGCTGTGTTTGAGTACAGTGTGTTAAGAGAAATGGTCAGTATTGAACAACAGATGATATTCTCTGGGCAATACAAGATTCCTGTATTGTATTGTATCCTCTAATGAAACATCAATAGATTTCTATATTATACAGTTAGGCAAAGAAACATAGTATAGAGATATGGTCTTCACGAATTAGTTCAAATTCTGATTTGTGGATAAGGATGTGAGATCCACTGACATCAAGATATTCTATCACATTTATAATCCCACATAACAGCAAAGACTATTTGTGACTAAAATCCCCATTGTGTCACTGGAACAAAGCTTGTACTTGTTACGTGACACTGTCTAAGTATGTAATCCAGGTTGTCCTTGTACTAGAAAAGCTCCTGCCTCAATCTCCAAGAGCTGGGATTACAGGTGTGCTATTTATTACTACTCCTGGTTTTCAAATTGACTTTTATATATTGTCTACCACTTTGACACAGACGTTGAATTCCTTCCTTCCTGGTTAGATGTTAATAATGTATCTTCAGAATTTATCAAGGATCTTCATATGACAGCTGTGTTCAGGGCAAGGGTATAAACAAGCACTATGAGAGAGGAGGCATAGGATATTTATTATAATAAACTCTTGAGAGAAGACAAGAATATAACACTACTGGAGTGACTGAGAAAGTGGTTGTCCAGTGTTGGTTTGAGCAGAGAGACTGATAGAACATGGGATGTTCGACTCACTCTTTAATGAAGAGACTGGAAAAAAAGAACCACAGAAACAAAAAGCAAAATATAAAACCCACAAATGATAGGCAACATGACTTAGAATGGTGGACTAAGGAGAAATAACTGAACAACTATCCTTCCTTGAATTCCAGACAGAAGAGGGAAAGGGCAGGTTTAAACAGAGCTTTGAAAAAGTGCTTAGCTCTCTGTGTTAAAGGAAATTGTCTCTCTTCCATTTCTTCTTCTAGATTTCCAATTTTGTTCTCTGTCATGTGGCTGTTAGGAAAGTTAATAGTGGGAAGAGAGAAGTTTGTAGCTCCCACGGTTTCTCAGGATAGAAGCTGGGAATGTGAAATTCCCAGAAAGGATAGAGAAAACCCCAACCCCTCACTGGATGAGCTTTCCAGGTCAAAGTGAGGTTAATATCCCCCAACTGACCACCATGAAAAAGGGCTGAGCAGAAGGATATGGTTATGGATTTTGCTTTTATTGATTTTTGCTTTACCAATAGCAATTTTGAGGCCTTGGGGCAATTATAGTTGATGGAGGTCAGACAATGAAGATTGTGGGTTTCCAGCCTGCTCTCAATAATTTAGGAGTGAATGATGTCAAATATTTACTTGGGCCACTAATTCAATGTACTTCCTCCTCCTGTCTACTTAGTGTCATGTGACAGAAAGTGTCCCATGGATGACAACTG